TACCACCAGCATTGCCACCATCACCAGCATCATCGTCCTTTTCCTCTTCTTCTCGAACCTCGACGCGGAACGAGTTCCCTCGCGAATGATGCCAGTGGGCTCGAGGCGCCAGATGTGCACGAGGCATCTGATGAGACAAGGTCGCGTGACACAATGTACTTGGTGTGGATGGACCCTCCCCGTGAGCATGTCTTCACGGGTCTCTATCCCGACTGGCGTGGCCTTGGCCCCACTGGCTGACTTTCCCACCTAGGCGGAGATCTATGTCTGTCCCATGCGGGTTTCGCGGGGCTTGCCCCCTCTCAGGAAGGTGGGCTGGTGTTCCTGAGGTACCATAGCCCCATGGGAATGGGGATAGGTTAGGCGATGCTGACCCCATGGCCCCTGTCAGAAGGGCCATTCCAGCCCCAAGCGCGGCTCCACAACCACCACTCACGCGCTCCCACCCCCGCCCGCCCCTGAAGGACGACCAGCTCCAACTCCCAGGACCAATGGAGGGCGGCACCACCACTACCAGCGCGAGGCGCGAAGGGAGGTCCTCCTGGTGGTGTGGCCCCGCCTGTCGCTTGAGACACCCTCCAGCCCCAGCTCGGGCAGGCATCGTGAACCCCCATTGATGGAGATGACCGTCATCGTCGTAGTAAGAGTAGTAGTAGTAGTAGTAGTAGTAGTAGTAGTAGTAGTAGTAGTAGTAGTAGTAGTAGTAGTAGTAGTAGTAGTAGTAGTAGTAGTAGTAGTAGTAGTAGTAGTAGTAGTAGTAGTAGTAGTAGTAGTAGTAGTAGTAGTAGTAGTAGTAGTAGTAGTAGTAGTAGGTAGTAGTAGTAGTAGTAGTAGTAGTAGTAGTAGTAGTAGTAGTAGTAGTAGTAGTAGTAGTAGTAGTAGTAGTAGTAGTAGTAGTAGTAGTAGTAGTAGTAGTAGTAGTAGTAGTAGTAGTAGTAGTAGTAAGTAGTAGTAGTAGTAGTAGTAGTAGTAGTAGTAGTAGTAGTAGTAGTAGTAGTAGTAGTAGTAGTAGTAGTAGTAGTAGTAGTAGTAGTAGTAGTAGTAGTAGTAGTAGTAGTAGTAGTAGTAGTAGTAGTAGTAGTAGTAGTAGTAGTAGTAGTAGTAGTAGTAGTAGTAGTAGTAGTAGTAGTAGTAGTAGTAGTAGTAGTAGTAGTAGTAGTGGTATTAGCGGTAGTCGTCGTAGTGACCCCCCTGGTGGTGGTGGCGGTTGCGCCTCTCCGTCCCCCGATACTCCCCATACTGCCGCCCGCGCTCTCGGTGTCCAGCAAATTCTAGGAAGAAGAGCGGCAAAATTCCAGACACATCCAAAGATCGGTCAACGCCATGCTGCTCAGAAACGGGTGTCGCACCTACGAAACGGCACGACAATCAACAAACTCCCGCAACCGCGGGTTCGCATAACCTGACGTCATCATCGATCCAATAAGCTTCCGTGAACAAATCCCAAGGGGCGGGCAACCTCTAAGCATCCCCAGCGCCGCCCCTCCCCCCGTCCCTCACGCTGACCCCCTCACAAACTCCGCTGCGGACGACTCCTCAAACCCATACCGAATTCCTATCCTGGGTAATTTTTGAGCCGAGCCCAACCGTGACGACGCGGGCCCTCTGGGAGTCCCAAGCCGAACGTCGAATCCTGGAGGCCGACCCTCCTGGAGGTTCAACCTCCATCGTCATGCCTCTCTCCGCGCGCAGCCGAATCAACGACCTCCAACGACACTTAAGTAGCCAGCTTCGCAAACTCTACGCAGAAGGCCTATACACATGTATACTATACGACCACCCCTCGGGTGATACGGAGGTCGTGTGTGTGTGAAGGCTGGGCACAACTGCGATGATTGTGGTTGTGACGATGCTGGTGATGCGCTCACGAGTTGGCGACGATGCATGATGACGATGACGATGCTGGTAAGACCATTGGGGCAACACTGGGGCAGCAGCGAACCACCATCAAAACACCATCTGACGGATCATCTGAAGACACTGCGGAGGCAAATACTCACTGTCCAGCTTACACTCGATCCCAATACCCATCTACAGTGCTACCTATCGATCTCAGATCAGATCCAACCACTGCTTTATCGATCTCACTAGCGATCTCATGATCAGTATCCCTCTCTTCCGATCTATGGATCTCACTATCTATAGTTCTGACCAGCGTCCTCACGATCGGTCTGACCATCGGTCTCACTATCGATATTAAAATCGACCTCGCAATCGATCTCACTATAGCTCTCAGTCTCGGTCTCACGATCGATTTCACTCAATCGATCAACAATCGATCTCACTATCGATTTACCGATCGAGGCCATTACCGATCTCACTATCAATATCACTATCGATCTCTGCATCGATCTCACTGTGGGTATCCCTATATATATGTATCGATCGATCTAACGGTCGATCCCACTACCTATATACCTAGCAATCTGTACTAAAACCATACAAGACCACAAGGCACCACGGGTCACCACTATCGATATCACTACCTATCGATCTCGATATCGACCCCGCTATCTATCTCACTAACGAGTTCCTTCTATCGATGAATTCCAATATCTATCGATCTCACTGTCAATCTCACTATCGATCTCACCTTCGATCTTACGATCGCTCTCACTATCGATTTGATAGTCGATACGTATATCGAATTACCTATCGATATCACTCTATATATCAATCTGTCAAACCCACTATCGATCTCAATATCGATCTCACAATCGATCACTCTATCGATCTCATTATGGATATCCCTCTATCGATCGATCTCTAATCATCGATCTCACCATCGATCTCAATATCGATCTACATATATATAGAGAGAGAGTGTGCTATCGATCGAAGTATTGATCTCACGATTGATCTCACTGTCGATCTCAATATCGGTCACACTCTCGATCTTACATTCGATTACACTATCAATATCACTCTCGGTCTCAATATCGATCTCACTATCGATAAACGATCGATCTCACTATTGATCTCACTATCGGTCTCAAGATCGGCTTCACTATCGATCTTACGGTCGATCTCACCATCGATCTCACTATTGATGTCACTGTCGATCTCCATGTGGGTCTCACCATCGATCTTACTATCCATCTCACTGCGGGACACCGACGGGGCACCGGCGGGAAAACCGCGGGACACCCCCGGTCACCGCCGGACAACCCGTGGGGGGCGGTCTTTTGGCCCAGCGGCGTCCTAGCCAGAGGAGGGCTCATTCCCTTCGCCCGCCCACGCAGCTTCGCTTCGCCCGCGCGCACGTCACGAACACGAAACCGAAACCGATTTTCCAGAGGGGGGCTCTCCGTTTCAATACAGCTCACCCCCTCGCCTCCGATACGCCCTCCTGGCCGAAGCCTGCAGGGCCTACACACGGCGGCGATACCAAGACGCCAAACCTCCTTAGGCTTTCTCACTGTTCCCAACCATCCTGTAGTGTTGGGTCCTCGTTTTGAAAAGACAGCGCCCCGCGTTCCTCCCGCCTCCTTCCTTCCTCCCCCTCCTCCCTCCTCGCATCCCTTGCCTCTGCTCTCCGCATACCCATCCCATTCTGGCACACCCCATCCCATTCTGGCACACCACTCACACCTCTGCCCCCTCCCTCCTCCCCCTCCTCCCTCCTCCCTGCGTTTCACCCACCCAGCACAGCGCTTCGCAGCCCCATAGGAAGCTCCACCGAAGGCCCCAGTGACAGGGTCCGCATGCAGTTCCACCTCCAGGTCGGCGCACCCCTCACACGTTTCGTGGCCCCATAGGGTGCTCCACCCAAGGCCCCAGTGGCAGGGTCCGCATGCAGATCCACCCCCACTTCGGCGCACTGTTCCCAACCATCCTGTAGTGTTGGGTCCTCGTTTTGAAGAGACAGCGCCCCGCGTTCCTCCCGCCTCCTTCCTTCCTCCCCCTCCTCCCTCCTCGCATCCCTTGCCTCTGCTCTCCGCATACCCATCCCATTCTGGCACACCCCATCCCATTCTGGCACACCACTCACACCTCTGCCCCCTCCCTCCTCCCCCTCCTCCCTCCTCCCTGCGTTTCACCCACCCAGCACAGCGCTTCGCAGCCCCATAGGAAGCTCCACCGAAGGCCTCAGTGACAGGGTCCGCATGCAGTTCCACCTCCAGGTCGGCGCACCCCTCACACGTTTCGTGGCCCCGTAGGGTGCTCCACCCAAGGCCCCAGTGGCAGGGTCCGCATGCAGTTCCACCCCCACTTCGGCGCACCCCTCACACGTTTCGTGGCCCCATAGGGTGCTCCGCCCAAGGCCCCAGTGGCAGGGTCCGCATGCAGTTCCACCCCCATGCCGGCGCACCCCTCGCACGTTTCGTGGCCCCATAGGGCGCTCCTCCGAAGGCCCCAGTAGCAGGGTCCGCATGCAGTTCCACCCCCATTTCGGCGCACCCCTCACACGTTTCGTGGCCCCATAGGGTGCTTCGCCGAAGGCCCCAGTGGCAGGGTCCGCATGCAGTTCCACCTCCGTTTCGGCACACCCTTAACGTTTCGTGTCCCCATAGGGGGCTCCACCTTAAGGCCCCAGTGGCAGTGCTCACATGTGGGCGTCACCCCCGTTTGGGCGAACCCCTCACACGTTTCGTGGCCCCATAATTAGGCTGCTCCACCGAATACGGTTCTCACAACTGCGCTACTCACACTTGCACATGGTTGGGTCCTTCGCGAAGAAAGTTTAGCATTATTTTCGAGCCCTCGTTCGAGATTGCCCCCCCTGGACCTCCGGGTGGCCACCCGCCGAAGGCGACGGGCGCCATGCCCTCGGGCCTCTGGACCTCCATCCGCGCGTGCTCAATTCTCCTTTCGTGAGCCCCAATGTCTCTGGGCCCCACCTCGTCCCTTATCCTTGTTGATGGACCCAGAGCCCAGGAGAGGGCGAGATCGAAGAGAAGAGAGGCGGCGAGATCTGAGGACGGGTTCGCAGCACCGGGTCGGGTCGGCGTCTCGATCGAAGGTGCAGCCCTCTTAGAAAGCAGGCGGCAAAGGCCCGCCTCGTCGTCGTCGTCCATGTCTGGGGCGGCTTCGCCGGTGTACCACCGCACCGCGTAGGGGATGATGTTGTCCCGAACGGCGCAACCCATGTCGTGGTCGTTGTCCATGATCATCTGCAGGAAAGGCGGGAGTCTCCTCCTCCGACTCGCATCGCTCTCCTCCCACCCGTGGCTCTCCTCCTCGTCCTCCTCCATGCTCCTCTTTTTACCTAACAGCGAAGACTGATAGGTTTCTAGTAGGGTCAAAAGAGAGCATCATGACTCCCCAGAGGGGTCTGGGCGGGATCCGGGGGAGGATGCCGGGGACCTTTTTTTAGCCAACAGTTACACACTTCGTGGTCTTCGAGGTCCCAGAACTCCATTCCCGGCCCACATTCTGAATGCCTGGAGCCAACTGTAGGCCACTTCGTGCTCTTCGAGTTCCCAGAACTCCATTCCCGGGCCACATTTTGACTACATTTTGAATGCCCGGAGCCAACTGTAGGCCACTTCGTGGTCTTCGAGTTCGCAGAACTCCATTCCTGGGCATGATTTTGCATGCCCGGAGCCAACTGTAGGCCACTTCGTGTTCTTCGAGTTCCCAGAACTCCATTCCCGCGCCACATTTTGAATGCTGAGGCAGGCTGATGCTGAGGCTGATGCAGGCTGAGGCTGAGGCAGGCTGAGGCTGAGGCCGAGGCTGAAGGCAGACTGAGGCTGAGGCTGAAGCAGGCTGAGGCTGAGGCTGAGGCAGGCTGAGGCTGAGGCTGAGGCAGGCTAATGCTGAGGCAGGCTGAGGCTGAGGCTGAGGCTGATGCAGGCTGAGGCTGAGGCACGCTGAGGATGAGGCCGAGGCTGAAGGCAGACTGAGGCTGAGGCTGAAGCAGGCTGAGGCTGAGGCTGAGGCAGGCTGAGGCTGAGGCTGAGGCAGGCTGATGCTGAGGCAGGCTGAGGCTGAGGCTGAGGCTGATGCAGGCTGAGGCTGAGGCAGGCTGAGGCTGAGGCCGAGGCTGAAGGCAGACTGAGGCTGAGGCTGAAGCAGGCTGAGGCTGAGGCTGAGGCAGGCTGAGGCTGAGGCTGAGGCAGGCTGATGCTGAGGCAGGCTGAGGCTGAGGCTGAGGCTGATGCAGGCTGAGGCTGAGGCAGGCTGAGGCTGAGGCCGAGGCTGAAGGCAGACTGAGGCTGAGGCTGAAGCAGGCTGAGGCTGAGGCTGAGGCAGGCTGAGGCTGAGGCTGAGGCAGGCTGATGCTGAGGCAGGCTGAGGCTGAGGCTGAGGCTGATGCAGGCTGAGGCTGAGGCAGGCTGAGGCTGAGGCCGAGGCTGAAGGCAGACTGAGGCTGAGGCTGAAGCAGGCTGAGGCTGAGGCTGAGGCAGGCTGAGGCTGAGGCTGAGGCTGAGGCTGAGGCAGGCTGAGGCTGAGGCTGAGGCAGGCTGGCTGAGGCTGAGGCTGAGGCTGAGGCGAGGCTGAAGGCAGACTGAGGCTGAGGCTGAAGCAGGCTGAGGCTGAGGCAGAGGCAGGCTGAGGCTGAGGCTGAGGCAGGCTGAGGCTGAGGCAGGCTGAGGCTGAGGCTGAGGCTGATGCAGGCTGAGGCTGAGGCAGGCTGAGGCTGAGGCCGAGGCTGAAGGCAGAGGCTGAGGCTGAGCAGCTGAGGCTGAGGCTGAGGCAGGCTGAGGCTGAGGCTGAGGCTGAGGCTGAGGCTGAGGCAGGCTGAGGCTGGCTGAGGCAGGCTGAGGCTGAGGCAGGCTGAGGCTGAGGCTGAGGCTGAGGCTGAGGCTGAGGCTGAGGCTGAGGCTGAGGCTGAGGCTGAGGCTGAGGCTGATGCAGGCTGAGGCTGAGGCAGGCTGAGGCTGAGGCCGAGGCTGAAGGCAGACTGAGGCTGAGGCTGAAGCAGGCTGAGGCTGAGGCTGAGGCAGGCTGAGGCTGAGGCAGGCTGAGGCTGAGGCTGAGGCAGGCTGAGGCTGAGGCTGTGACTGCGACTGCCGTTGCCACTGCGACTGCCATCGCGAATGCGCCTACGACTGCGGGAACATCATAATTCTACAACAGGATTATCATCTGAATCTTAAGGGGAATGCTTCCAGGTATGCTCCTACACATCGCTGGCAGGTTGATTTGCAGGGATAATATGTGTTCCCTGTTACATACACCTACATACACATATACATACACACATACATACACATACACACATACACACATACCCACATTCACACGTTCACGCATTCGCACATTCGCACATACACACATACACATACACACATATACACATGCACACATACACGCACACACCCATACACACATACACACATACACATACATACATACACACATACACACATACACACATACATGTATACATGCATGCATGCAGGTATGCATATATACATGTTTACGTACGTACATATCTACACACATACATGCATGCATGCATGCATGCATACATACATACATGCATATACACATACATACATACATACATACACACATACATAACTACATACATACATGCATACATCAATACACCCATACATACATACATACATACATACAGACACACATACATATACACATACATCCATACACGCACATACACACATACATACATGCATACATACATACATACATCAATATGCCCATACATACATACACACATACATACATACATACATACATACATACATACGTACGTACATACATACATACATACATACATACATACATACATGCGTGCACACATACATACACACATGCATATTTATACATACATATATGCACACATACATGCATGCATACATACATACATACGTACACACATATACATACATACATTCATACATACATACATACACACCTCTCTTACTTTTAGGTCGGCTCAGAGTCCCTGTCACGCAGGACGATTACGAATCTCTGTTTCCACTTCTTCATGCATCAGGCGAGTTATACATTCGAATCCTTCCGAAGCGAGGCAGTACAGACAGCTCGCGAGGAAAGAACGCAAAGGCTTTGCACAAAAGACGCTCCAGGGAGGCAGTGGGAGGGAAGACTTGAACGAAATAGTTTACATATGAGCGGGCCCCAACGAAGCGAGAGATACAACAATCAAGAATTAAAAACACCTCTCCTACTTCTAGGTCGGCCTAAAGTCCCTGCCACGCAGGACGATTACGAATCTCTGTTTCCACTTTTTCATGCAGCAGGCGAACTATACATTCGAATCCTTCCGAAACGAGGCAGTACAGAGAGCTCGCGAGGAAAGAACGCAAAGGCTTTGCACAGAAGACGCTCCCAGACCACAAGCATTTAGTGGATGCCTCTTGGAATGACTGAAAAAAAAGGCCTCCGCTGCCGCAGCCTGTCGGGCAAGGTCCGCGGGAAGGCGATCTGCTTGCAGAGGGAACCGATCGCTTGTTTCGAACCTCACAAACTTGGGATGGGCCCGTCGGCCTCGTTTCTGGACTGAAGCAAGACTGTGAGACCGTACGAGAACGTCACGACTAGGAGCAGAGTGTCTGGCCACGTGAGGTGTCAGGGGGCCTAGCGTGTCAAGGAGCGAACGGCTAAACTTCCTAAAGAGAGCTTTGTACTTAGCCAAGGTGAGGTTTGGGAAAACAGAGTCGTCTGAGCTGGCGTTTGCTCCGCTATGCTGAGCCCACAGGTCCAGCACGGAGCCAATCTACTCACGGTCCGGCGAATTGAGCGCGACCGTGTCGTCGCTTTCGCCAGTCTTTGTGGTCTCGCCGAGGTCGGAATTTCGATGGCCACGGCTCATCTTGCACGAGCCAGTCTTGAAGAGATCGCAGACGGTCAAACCACTGATCTGAACACCAGCGCAGCTCGCAGATTCGGAGGGTCTCAGGTAGGCGTCCAGCTGGACAGCAATGGCACCGCATCGTCCACGTGGTCGTCCTGCAAAAAAGGACCATGAGGAGGAAGATGATGCAGAGCGGCCATGAATGTCGAGGAGAGCCTGGGAAGGAGGTCGGGAAAACCCCACCACGCGTACCGCCTTTCAGCAGGATGTCGGGCGTCGCTCATGAGAATGTCAAAAATACTTGCACATAAATTGGTAAATCTTGGATTCGGGGGCCCATTTGAGATCCCCTGTGCGCGTGGCCCAGTCGAACAATCCCGAAATGTCGTTCTAATGAGACCGCTGTGATAGACCCAAAGCGTACAACACCGCCATCGACAGGAACCGGGGCTCGAGGCCCAAAAGTGAAGTTCCTGCCCTTGATGGCTCCCACGAAGTCACAGGCGCGGGAGCGCCGGCCAGCGGCTTTTCTGGCCTCTGAGGGCGCTGGCCGCTTGCTTCCGGGCTGCCTCGATGTTGGAGTCCTGGCCGAAGATGATGTACGGCCGGAAGTGCTCGTACCTACTCTCGAGGGTGTCCGGGTCGGCGGCTGCGACGAGCCCGAGGTCAGGTTCCGCCTGAAGCCGCTGCCGAGCCGGTCGGAGGCGTCCGCGGGCGCGTGAAGCCTGCCGTCGCACAGCATCGCGTAGCCGAGCTTGGAGGTCACCGCCGTCTGGAGCGCCAGGATTGCCGCGGGCGCCCGCAGGCGCTGTCATGGAGGCGGCGCGTGCCCATGCCGTGCAAAGGGCGCGGGGATAGGCTCCGGCGCCTGCAGTTCGGTTGCGAGAGACCCGAGCCCCCAATGGCAACGTCACTGGTTCAAAACCAGGAAGTTCCACATGAACGTGATCTCTTGAACTCACACAGGCCAGGGGCGACAGAGCGAAGAAATTCGTGAGGAGCGCCGTCGGTTTCAGATGCGATGCCCCATAACTACAGTGCACGAATAGCACGCGAAAGGCATCGGGCAGACCTGCAAGCTCCCGCACGGGGTCAAAATCCCAGAGCCTCGAGGATATTGGGTGCTCAATGCTCCAGAAAACTCCGTTTCTTGAGTATTCGTAAGCCACGCGACAACTGAACAGGGCCAGGGCGACACCGATACGTTCTTTCTGACGAGCTTTATTATGATCTCGTATGTTGTGCCGAGCCGGAGACCAAACACAGCACGGGGTACCCATATGTACATGCCAAAAGAGTCCCCTCCGAATTCCTTCCAAGATGATGAGCTGGACCGCGGGATCCAAGAGGTCATAGTGGGGCCCATCTTTGCTGCCCATGCAA